GTTTGATATAATTACGAAAATGAATATAGAGAATTATTTATTAAGTACAAGGTCTCTGTGAGAGAGAACCTGTCCATTTATATGTAAGCGAATTAAGAGAAAGAAGGAACACAGTGGCGTGGTAGATCAGTAGGCTTTTGATAATATTTTTTTAAATCATCACAATCAAAAAATGCTTTACGTAACACGATCATTTAGATCAAATATTCGAAACGTCGTTGACGATTGCTCAAATAAAATGATGATAAGTTAAATGTACATTCTGAGATTCAAAGTTGTAAATATAAAATCTTATGTAATAATCCATAATTTAATCGATGGGTTCATAATTTTACGTAACTTATGAAGTATTAAGGTCTCCCCGTAACTAATCCACTGGTAATTCTCATATTCCTTTCCCATATATTACAGGGGGGTCTAGATTTGGAATAGTTTTAATTTTATTAATTGCGTAAGAATATTTGGCAACAGTAAAATATCTTGTGAATTTGTTGTGTAAAAAATTATCTTTACAAGATCATCAACAAATTATACGTAATCAATCTTACATACAATATTTATATACACCATTTACGAAAAAATTAAGGAAATTATTAGAGCAGGATAACAGAAGAAATGTTTATTAAGAAGTGTTGAAAAAAATATATGTTATTTTCTTTGTAATTTTTAACTGTTTCATGACATCGATATTTCTTCTGAAAATTAAATTGTTCGTTATCTATTTGTAAAAAAATGTAATATATTACAACAAAGACGGTCAATTCAAAGAAGAACGTGTGTGCCAATTGCCGATTCGATTGACCGTGCTAGTCATTAATTAATTTCGTTCGTTTTTTTGCAACTAATTGTTTAATTACCAAACGTTAATTTTAGAAGTTACTATCGTAGATACAGGTTCTAATTGACCCATAGAAACGTATCGAAAAAGAAAAATTTCAAAAAGTTGAAATTAAGTTGTTTTACAACTAAACAAAGTAGCACGTGCAAAACAGCGTTATAAACAAAGCCAGGCAAAAACCGCTAGAGAATTCGCTCTTTTTACATTAAATAGATCTTATTTTTACAATAATTTAAAAAAGCGAAATCACCTACGCCTCATTGTTCTCTGTCTCGAGAACCGCTCGAACAATTTTTATGATTTTTTAAATTTTAGTGATCTCGTTGAGACGAATACAATGCCGCCATAAAATCTATACATTGTTGGTATAAATCCGTCCAAATCTATTTGGAGATATATTTAATATAGTTTGTGGGATGTTGCCAACCCCGATTTGAAAAACAAAACATCGAATAACACCGAAACGATACGACTTAAACCTTTCTTTGCAGAAGTAGGTCTTAAATTTAAGGAGAAATAAAAAAATTATATAATCTGCTGGGTGTTGCTACTGCATTTGAAAAAAATAAGTTAGGCAGCGCACAAGAGGAATGGGGTAGAATAGAAAATAATTTTAAAATATGGATACATTGATTTGATGCTGCTATTATTTGGAGCACTTTTTGTGTTATTGATATTATATGAACTGTGGAAGAGCTGGGGAGTGTATTTATCTAGTTTTGAATAAAATTTATGAACTCTTCTATCAAATATGAATTTATTAACCAATAAATTTTAATTAGTTCAAGATTGTGGAATACTCAATACTCATATGTAGATAAATGTGTTACACATAAACTTCAAAAAATTTCTAAAGCTTTGTACGTAAGTCAAAATATGCATTGCAATAATAAAGATTTATATATGGAAATATGTTAATTGTCAAAACATATTATGTAAAAAGCATGTAACAGTTGAGATTAAGGAAACCATTTTTTATATAATTAAATGTAGCAAAACTTATGGCTGTTATTACGTCATTATGTGAATATTTATGAAGTCGATTAAAATTATGTTACTCCATAGTAATTGTTAAGTTGTATCTAGCTTATTGGATATGAGCTGAATTCTCTAAACGTTTCGGAAAATCGTATTCGCGTATTAACAGTGTATCTATTAGTAACTAAGAAATGTTTACAATCGTTACGACAAATAGTAATACAATTACAAATAACTAATTCATTCAAGGGTCAAATCCAATTATTTATAATTTTATTGTACCAGGTGAAAGGTAGACATGTAGACTTACGTAGACCGGATGTTTAAATATTATAGTAAAATTATAATTGTTGTCCTTGCCAGTTATTTTCAATGCTATGTTAAACAAATATTTAAAAGGTGTCAACAATTTTTAATAATGAATATAAATTTTCCAGAAAATTAATTATATAAATATACAGGATGTTACAAATTAGTAAGTCAACCCGTTAACCACATATTCTTTTGACTAAAATAATGGGACTTTTCTTATGTCACTTTTCATTTCGGAGCCCCATTTGCAAAATACTGGGTCTCAAATTAAAAAAATTATTTATAATGATAACTCCGGTGATTGTAAAGATATTTATTTGAAAGTCGGCACACTTTTTATGTAATTTTGGTTTAAAATATCAAAGCGCGAACGAAGGGGAGGGGGGATGCAGTACACATGGACCCCCTATCATAAAATAAAGCTAAGTAAAGTATAAAGATATTGGGTGTGCAAATTACAAAAAAACTGTATAATATTTTGCTATCATGTATCGTGAAATAATATGTTCCTACTAATTTTTAACAAATAAATGTAAAAAATGCATTTTATTTTATTTTTGCCGTAACTCATTCGTTTATAGAGATCTTTTAATGAAATTTGGTTCCTGGGCATAAAACCTGACTGAATGTATGTAAGTGGGGTGAACTTAGATTTTCTATATTTTCACTGTTTTTAAGATTGAAAGTTTTTCGTACCTTAGGAAGCTTAATTTTTGCCGGAAACGGAATTATATTTAATTGTTAATTTCGTTCTAAGTTGGTTTTAAGTAAGTTTTAAATAGCAGATATTTTATATGTATTTATGTATTTACTCTTTTGTCCCTTATTAAATATATCACTGGAATTGTAATTTATTTCTATATTTATTCGTAGGTATATAAGACTAGTACGGTGTAAGATAAAAAGAAATGTTGTAAGTATCTCAAAAAAAAAACAGCAAAATCTAAAGAAAATCACAATTTCTATAAGTGATATAAGATGTCTAAAAACCGACCTTCGTTAAATTACCTTTATAAATAAATGAGTTGCAAGTCAAAATGAGAACTAGAAAAAATTCAACAGTGCAGTTTTTTTGTAATTCGAGAATATGTGGGCAATCTCTAGTATTTATACAGGGGACGTTAAAATAACATGACAAGTTCCTCTAAAAATTTTCCTTAGACGACCCTCCTATGAACGACCCTGAAAATCAATTTTTTTTAATAATTTTTAAAATACTTTGTGTAGGTAAACCAAATAAGCCAAATTGTTCTCATGGGTCAAGTTTTAAATAGTCTTATCTGTTGTCCATCGTATTAAAAAATAATTAAATTACACGCAGTATTATAAGTTATTTAAAAAAATCGATTTTCAGGGGCGTCCTTTAGGGGCCTCCGTAGGGGAGGCCCTCTAGGGAAAATTTTTATTGGAACTTATCGTGTTATTTTAACGTCCCCTGTATAAATCCGAGAGGTTGCTCATATATTATGGGACACACGGTATATGTCTTAATGTATGATATCCCTACAGCTATTTCGTAGTTCTAATCAGAGTTAGTGAGAAATGTAGAAATGTTTTGGCTTTGTCCAGATTAACCACGATAGCAGGTAAACAGTGTTAAAAAAATTACTTACATACTGAATGAATGATTAACATTTATGACACACTTATCCAGTTTCCAGTATTTTAACACATTTTCTTAGTAATATACAATACATACATACATATAAAGTATAGATATAATGAAAGTGCCCTATAATTTTTGTGGAATAAAAGTGCAAATGTGGATGAGACCTAACCTATAAGTATAAGTTACCTCGAGAATATCACTGCTATTTATTTAGGTTATGAGTTACGCTCAGAACACTGACCTAACCTAATCTATAAAGTATAAGTCATCTTAAATGTTATTGGTTTTCATTTACGTTATAGATTATATGTCATTCACACTCAAAACATTGTGGGGATAGATATTCAAATAGCTAAATGGTTCATCAGTCGTTTTAACTAATGACATACTGACGAGTCTTGTGATGCTACTGACAAATCCTTTTTCAATCCAAATGATACATTAATGTAAATAAAACGTATCTTCTCGACATCTTAATATCCGCCAGAACAATGCATACACATTTTTACAATTTCCTATTTATCTTCCTATAGTGACTATTTTTATTTACGAGTCGGCCTTTGTCAAAGGTGGTAACACAATTCCTCCAAAAATGGGGGGAATGGTGACCTTAAACAATTTTTGTTTACCTACTGTTTAATCGCTTCCAAACAACCATTTGGTATAGGAAAAACTATGGAAGTAAATATTTTTAAGTCATTATTTTCAAAAGCTGAAAATAAAGAAACTTGAAGATGAACACAGAAAACTATTCCCTAAAATTTACAATCTTAGCACTTACAAGAAGGCTTAACCTTTTACAGTAAACAGCATTTATTTCTAAAGACGTTATAAAATATATATAATATATTCCAAAAAATTGCTAATGTAGTACACAAACAATAATGTTTATGTATATTCCCATATATACTGCACTTAATTACAATTAAATAACTGCATAAATATGATAAAATCACGCATTTAAATAACCAACGTTTTACTAATCCAGTTCTATTGTTAGTAGTTACCCTTGATCAGTTTGAATTTAATGTATTGAGCAATTATTAGAACTAGTTTATCGCTCAATAGTAACTTTAAAAACGGAATATTTTTATATAGTAACTTTATTTCTTTGCTTATTCAAAGCGTCAATATCTCTTAGCTTGTGACATAATTATCGCTTAATAGTAACTTTAAAAGCGGAATATTTTTATTCAGTAACTTTATTTCTTTGCTTATTCAAAGCATCATTATCTCTTAGCTTGTGACATAAATATAGCTTACCAACGGCGATGTCCAATTTAAATTTTTCTTGAGAGAACACACAAGCGAACAATAAACTTAATACATAATAACGAACACAGAAAAATGTGTATCTCATAGCTAACTATTTCGCCGCTATACGCACAGCGGCATTTCCAATTAGCAACTTTTTTCTTTGAGATCTAAGCAGGTACTGGTTGTCCTGCAGCGTTCCCGCTGCTTTGCTTTCACAAGAACAACAGTCCACAAGAAGTGGATGTTGTGTTATAACAGGGATATACACAAGGTTGAAGTCGATTTACACGGACCGAGGCATTAGCTAATGGGATTACTTGGTTTGATAATTTAATTCTGCTTGAAGAAAGGTATTTTTCCAGTACTATTGGTGTCTGGATGGTTTGCGCCTAATACGAGCAAATCATTGCAAAATGCATTCATTATATTCACATGTTGTGAATGTTGCTCATTACTTTGAATAGTGATGGCGAGGTTTTTATTGCTTTCTAGCCAGTAGTGCAACTACAAAATTTGAGCTCCCTCCTTCCGCGGGCAAAAAGAATTTAATGCCAAATTTCTACGACACTGATTTTTCCTAATTTTACGTTAATTTCTAACATTGTAATTAAAATCACATTTCTGAAAAAAATATTGTAGAAATATTATCAATGATTTAGTTGACGTTTTATTTAAAATTGCAGCGACTGTCAGCAAATTAGTGTGCAATTATCCTCTGCACTTTCTCATCTATGATCCTTTTTACATAATCATCCTCTTTATCATTTATCAATAACTTTTTACTAAGTCATAAAAAAATTTTTGTGTCTGTGACTTTATCAAGAAGTCTATACCTATCTTTAGACTTATCATTCCTAAATCTTTATCTTTCTCCAGCATTCTTTAAATGTCCAACTCGTAGTTATGAGAAATAAAGTGAAGGATATACAAAAAAATGAAATTACTGCCTCCAAATAGTGTAAGATGTTCACTTTGGAAATGCACAATTTACATGAAAGTTCTCTAAGACAATTTCGTCCTAATGGTTTCAGCACTTCATATTAAATATTGATCACCATTCATTGTTCTTCTGATATTATTGAAGATGAAGAAAGACTTCCAGTGGAACTTAAAGTTTTTTAGAAATAAAGATAAAACGGAAAGACTAATCTGCAGCAAAACACATCATTCGGAAGAAGATGGACTAATAATAAAAGATGTGGAAATACATCCAAAACAAGTGGATTTTAATTTTCTTTGCGAATACTATAAACAAAAACAAAGTGTTGAAGTATGTCCTTGACTTTGTCTGTACCTAAGCATTGTTAAGTTAATTGGAGACACTCCACATACCTATACCAAGAGGAGTTCATGCTAGATTTCTCAACATTCGTATCTAATTTAATGTCGATCTTTAACTGTTGTTTATACTATATTTTTAAATATGCAATCAAAGACATCTTTGAAAAAAAAAGAAAAGAAATTATAAAAGCTATTTAAAAAAATAATTACCTAATTAGTAATTTTGATCTAAATGTAACTATAAAAAAAATACTTGAAAAGTATAAGTGATCTTTGCAGTATTTGTCTCCCTTTCAATTCATTTTGTAATATCAAATGTTTCAAATATATTAGATAATTAAAACTAAAATTATATATTTACTGACTGGGACATTGGTGAATAAAATAACTTACCATTATTTTATGAAACCACTTTTCTTCCAATTTACTTTATTGCAATCGTTTCAAGTTTACCCCATCTTCAGACAAAACATGAAAGGTGAATTATTATAAAATTTTTACAAATGTTATATATAGGCCAAATATTGTTTAAATTTTATATATTTTTATCTCTACATAATACTAATAAATTTAATTTTCTAATATATATTCATTTAGCCTCCTATAAAAATAATAACATTAATGTTAATGTCATCTTTAAATTAAATTAAAAATAAATTAAATAAATACCAGGAACCAATATTGAGTAAATTTATAAATAGATACCTAAATAGGTAAATAGGTAATTTATAACGAGGTATCATACACCTTGTATCTATTCAAACGATTAAGAAAATAAATGAAATAACTTGGGAAAACCGGTCGCGTTACATTTTTAAATGAGGATATTGTGTATTTGCTTTGATTTCCTACTTAAGTATACTTATTTTATATTAAATTCATAGGCATAGATGTATACAAAATCATGTAGGTAATTAATTTATATATTTAGAATTTCGTTAATAATTGTAAAACATATGTTATTTAAACCCTCCAGAGAGCCCGGTATTCACCGCAGAAAAAAATCCAATCATCTGCCTCTCATTTTTGGAGGTTCTGGATCCACCCTAAGCAAAAAAAAGCAAAAATCCGTCCTACGCCCATGATTACAGCACGTATTGCAATGGCGTATACAAGAAAATGGGGGAACCTCTCACATTTTGGACGACGTAAGTCTTACCTAGAATCTACTTAAACCTCTCTAAAATTTTAATCCGCTCAGGTACTTCATTTTTTGGAATCTGCAGGCCACTTTGAGAAAAATAAACCCATGGTTTCGGAGGTGTCCAGGTTATTTAATTTAAACCGAAAAAAGTTCCAATATTATATTACGAAATATCACCATCAATAGGTCATAGCACACTGTGTGGTGGTACCAGTATTGTAGCATTTATGGCTGTAAATACATAAAAAAATAATAATTGAAGCATCAAATTAAATCTGAACATCCTGTATATAAAATTCTCATTCCAGGAAACAGGAAATTGTTGCACGTTGTTCTTTTTGATTTAGTAAAATATTGGGATTATTATATTTATCGTACAAAAATTTGGAGCAATGCATGAAAATAATTTTTCTCTGCATATTAGAAGATAATTTTAGCTGAACTAGGAACAATGCATTGATTCATCCTATTGTTCATATTATGTAACAATACAAAACAAGTTAACATAACATTTTAAAGGCCTATTTAGATTTCATTCATTCAAACAGTATTTGTTTCCACAGTTTCAATTTCAACACTGTTGAAAATTGAAAATAAGGACCTTAATATAAGAAAAACATCAGAATACCGAAATCAAATCGATTACAAAATATGTAGATGTCATTTAGATAGACATTTAATCGATACCTACGTACGCTAAGTCATAGAATAAATGGAAAAAGAATGGAATTATTTTGAGTATGCCCTTCATAATTCAAGCCTTTTGGTATAGGTATACTTCTTGTGCAAAGCAAAAAGAAAACAGCACTTCCGTTTATAGTTTAGTATTTTTTTAAATAAAATGTAAATATCTATTCTTGAACACTGGGGAAATTTTAAGACGTCACTGAGGACAGTGAAAGTTTATGGAAGAAATTTTGTGTAAGTGTTTAAGAAGTCATATTAAGGCGTTATGTAACGTATTACTTCTTATAATAATTCAAGGATACAGGCGTATCAAACACCTGAACTTGAGAGTAAAATTCACAATAACGTGGTGAAATTGGCAGTGACGGAACATAGTAGGTAAGTAAAATAGCATTACATTTCAAAATGTTGCGGCAAAATATACCTATTAATACGCTGACATACTTGTATTGGAGGTTCCTCTTTTAATAGATGTTAATAACTTACGATTCTTGTAAACAAAAGTAATTTTATTATTATCACAATCGTGTAGTTGGTGTAGTACAATGAAGCAGATACTAAAGAATTAAAAAAATAGTTTTTTTTTCAAATCATGTAGAGTAAAGATTTGTTTTGCTATGTTCATGTTCGTTAAAATTGATATCTGCACTTGGTATTGATATTTGTTGCTAGAACAACTTTTTAAAAATTAGTATATAACAGTTTGCATTTCTAACAAATAAAAACAATTTATAACACAGGTAGGTACATATCTACTAATTAGTATTAAAATGAGTTTATCTTAAACTTCTTAAAATGTATCTACTTATATTTTCGTGCTAAATACCTATTCGCTATTCAAAAGTTTATTTAAAAAATGTTCTTACATTTTTGATTTTTAAATTTTAGAATTATATTTTTTATCTATGATCTATGCTCTATTTTACGCGCCTCTGAAAAGTTAATAAAGCGCAAGGGAATAGTAAACTATTCAATTTGTATCGAAATATTTTCCTTGCCTAAAATATATAATGCAAAGAAAGTGTGTTTATGCGAATGTGTTGGAGCAACTGTTGGAATTTTAATTCGAATTGAAAAAGTTCTGTGTATTGTGCCAGATTATACGAACTGAAAAACAATTGCTAAAAGTATTAAAACTAAAAACAAAGGAGCAATAACATCATATACATACCTATTTTTGCAAATTGATATTTCTTTTAATTGCAATAGATAATTTCTTATTTAAAAAAACGGTTTCCCCTGATAGTCACCTGTATTTTTAGATTCAAATAAAAGTAAACCGCCATCTACAAAACCACTGGCACTACCTATATGTGTTACTATTAATCTTCGCCCTTTACCTGAAGGTGCCTTGAACCCTGTTGAAAGTCCATCCAAAAATGCTTGTCGAAAACTTTTTACATTTTTATCTTGCCATACTTTTGTTACAGTATATCCCTCGTTGACCCAAGTTTCGTCTAGATAATAAATATTCCTCCCTTCGTCACGGAATTTTCTAATTGATCTTAAGTAGGATCTTCGCCAACAAATAATTTCATCTTTATCGATAAGAACTGACTTCCTGTTCTGCTTTTCCCAGCAAAAATTCAACTCTCGTAAGACGGCCCATAATTTGCTTCTACTGATTTTTGGCAAATCGTTGTCCTCTGAAAGTTCACTTAAAATTTTGTTTAGCGTTGGTATTTCTTTTTTAAAATAAAATGAGTGTACTTTTCTGCGAATGACATTTTTGAAGAAATCATCTATAACGACTTTTGACCTCCCTGTAGATGATTTTGGGGGATTTACAGTATCTTGTTCATTTTTTGTTTCCTTTAAAAGTCTGTAGATAGTCGATTTTCCAATCCCTGTCATTTTGGAACACTTTTCCACGATGTCGTCAACACTGTTGGTAGGATTTTGGTGTTTCAATGCATTAAATACATTTAATATAATAATCTTCTCATTCTGAGACAGCGCACATCTTTTCACGCGTTTAGCAGGTACGTAATCTGATAAGCTCGACATTTTACCCAAACGATATTATATCCACTGACAGTACTGGCACAATAGTCACTAAACACAAGTCGAATTTTATTCTACTACACTAGCACGTCTTCGTATATTCAGCTCTAAGACTGGATTGATCTGTCACAATACACTGGCTCCTGCCCTATGATGTATCCAGTAAAATATACTAATTGTACACCCATTACCTGTTAGCATTAGTGTTACCCGATAATTACTTGAAACGAAATATTACCACGCCCATGGCCGGTTCTTATCTCGGGGTTTTATTACTCTGTTTCATTTCCAAACAGACTATAGTTACATTTGAACGCCACTAAATTTTCCAATTCGTCATGTAAAATTAGAAAACAATCGCTATGCGCATACGAAAAAAATGTCAAAAATCAAAATTTAATAATTTTGCGTGGCAAATACATTAGTGCTAAAATTAGTCCCTCTCCCCCTCCTCTTGCAGTTTCGAATTCTACGGCTGAAAGTAACGTAGGATTTGTCTGAAACATTTTTTTTTCGATTCATTATAGATGGCTCTGTTATCGACGAAATTTAATATGTTTGCAATAAAAAATATTACATTTTCACTGTTGGTAGTTACATATAATCAAAATTAATTTCAAAACAAATTTTATTTCCCAGCTGTTCGAAATTTACAGAATTAAATTAATAACCTTTTTTGGAGAAGAATTTCGAGTATTTATATAACATGGTATTTTTTTATTGCAAAGACATTACAGAATCGTATACATAGGTTCTCAGTAGGAGAAATGGAGAGAAATTGAATTTCATCAATTACAGCGGCATCTATACCATAAAGTTAAAGTCTATGTTTCGTTCTTCGTTTACTAATGTCCCCCGGGGTTTACACAGACGAGCCGGCGAAGCAAGAAGAGCGCCAGAAGAAAGGGCCCTTGCCGGCGGGGCCCAGCCAGGACAAAAGGAGGTCCCGCCGCATTTGCGATCGGGGTAGACGACGGATGGGGCCCACCTACGAAGGCTGTCCAGGCCTACACGAGATGAGGCAGGATAAAAAGGGATAATCCCCCTCGATCCCAAATCATTGAGGCCAATTTCTAGCCATGGAATAATGGCGTTCACAGCTAAGTTCGTTTACATTTCTCTAACTACTTGGCTTAATTGTAGACCTAGAATTATGCAACCAAATAAACATGATTTTAGTATTTTCTTATTTTTCTTATTTAAATCGAACTTTGTTATGTTGATATAATTAAAACTCTAAAATAAAGATATCTAGCTTACCACTAGTTAGCATAGTGTTAGGTGTGTTAGGTCATATTATACTAATTTATTATCTTGATCGAATAGTAGAGTGTATACATTTTAAATATTATTCACATCCGATGCCGGACGATTAGACACAGATTTTATTTTGACGTCACAATTAGGTTATAACCATAGACCAACCTTGACTGGCTTATAGAGCGACTTTGGTGAAAACACTTTGGGGCCTGATTTGGAGCCCAGCGTTCAGTCGTGTCCTAGCATTTGACGTGTACGCATCGCTGTGATTTCGATAATTAGACGTTTTATCATGGACAAGCGTATTGTAAAACATTGTATAAATAGAACTGATCGAGTTGGTGAAGAGAGGCCAAAAGTTTTCTTCTTTAGGAAAGGAAAAAAAAGGAATATATAAAAGGTAAATATGTACGCCATTTTTCGGTTAACGTCACAAGTTTCCAGGGTTAGCTTTATAATTTTGTTCGCCCACATAGTGTAGTGATTAATGTGATATTGTTATTATAAAATAATGAATGAATTACTGTAAAATATTTTTAGTAATTATTTACTTTATGTTTCTTAAATTTTTATGAAATTTTACCAATTCCCGTCATTTCGAGATAGCTGAAAATTAATTAAATATTTTTTTCAATTAAAAAAATCGCAAACAAAACTAATTTCAGATTCAGTATTCGTACAGTCAATTAATTTTTATTAAAGATCGTGGTTGCTTGACGTATAAAAAAAACATAAAACACACCACAGAAATGAGACAACCCCCAAATCCAAAAGCCAAAGGCTTGTGCGGAAGGGGGCTACACTTGAAAAAACGCGGACAAACACCCATCATCCATCGACATTGCCAGTGCCGACACCGGGGATCGGACCCGGACCAGAGTAGGAAGCCTAGCCGAGAAATGCTTGCCACCGCACTCTCGACCGACTGCGCTACCGTGGCGTATCCATCTCGAGATGTCGTAGTAATATGCTCCACCAGGGCTAGGCTCTATCTCTTACTCAAAGGTGGAAACACCCTCAGTTTAAGGAATAAGCGAACGCTTATCAAGATGGTACTTCAACCGCAGCTAACCCACGTCACCACGGCGTGGGGTCGCGCGGCAAAAAGCCACTTAAAGTCATTACAGGCTGTGGAAAACATAGCCCTCCGCACGGCCACCGACGCGCCCTGGTACGTCAGAAACTGTGACATATTACGAGACTTACAATACACAAACGCTACACAGACAATAAGACAAAACGTGGAGAAACGGTTTGATGTAGCCGCTAGACATGACAATCCCCTCCTCAGGCAAGCCGTTGACTACGTAACCGACGTGGCCAACAAACACAAAAGACCTAGACACCAACTTTTTGACCCTGGGTGACCAACCCAACGACATACCCCCGCCCGCTAACCTTTTCTTTTCTGTTTCAGAGACCGCCAGGATCAAGAAACGAAGACAACGACACACACACACCTTCCCATACCCTCCTTACCCCTCCCCTCCCGCGCTAGCCTAAGGGCCACCTTAGCAAAGCGCATCCCAGGCTGCATAGCCGCACTACCCTACCCAACCATACCACA